CCATTAGTACTGAGAAACCGTTGAAGGGTTTAGATGGGGCATGGTCCATTTTGTCTAATGTATAGATCTCCCTGGAAATAGTGCTGTAAACATCTTTAAGGACAAATGAAGAGATTTTTTCAATGGAGAGAGAGAATGTGAGCTTGGTTGGGGAAGAAGTAGTAGGAATACCATTATCAGATAAAATGTTCTGCATCGTCAGTTTGAATCTCTGTTCCAAAATTATAAGAAGACCCTCATTTTCTTCAGAAAAAAGTACAAAGATTGATATTCAAGTTCTTCATTATCTGATCCTATACCATGTTTTACACTTATAATTCCTACCTTTCTGTTAAATATTATCACTTGACTCTTCTCTACTTCTTTATGTATACTTGTCATTTTTTCAATTTTTCATTCCTTTCCTCTGTGCTTACCACAAGGAATAAGGATTAATGTGAAATTCACTGCTATCCTACTATTCATCAAGACCTTGCTCAAAGTCTACTCTTTCTATGGAATCTTCCTCAATAACTCTAAAAGGAAAAAGAAAATATTTCCCTCCTTACAGAGACTGTAAAGGTTTTGTTTTGTTTTCTTCTCTCATACCACTTAGTTTATTATCTCTCAAACACTAGTTTATTATATCTACATACATATTTAATCTTCCAAATAGATTGTAATTTCATTATGGGTAATATTACTTTATATTCTCTTAGAGCCTAATCGAGTATAGGCATACCTTGCTTTATTGTGCTTCACAGACATTGTCTTTTCTACAAATTAAAAGTTTGCGGCAACCCTGTGTCAAGCAAGTCTATCTCTTCAGTTTTTCCAATAGCATGTGTTCATTTCATCTCCCTGCATCACGTCTCCCTGTGTCATATTTTGCAATATGTCAAACTTTTTACATTATTATCATATCTATTATGGTTATCTGTGATCAGTGATCTTTGATGTTACCATTGTATTTATTTTAGGTGGAGAACTTCATCAATAAATATTGTGTATGTTCTGACTGCTCCACATACCAGTCGCTCTCTCTTCTCCTCGGGTCTCCCTATTCTCTGAGGCACAGTTATACTGAAATTAGGCCAACTAATAATGCTACAATGGCCTCTAAGTGTTCCAGTGAAAGGAAGTATCACATATCTCTTACTTTAAATCAAAAACTAGAAGTGATTAAGCTTAGTGAGGAAGGCATGTTAAAAGCTGAGATAGGCCAAAAACCAGGCCTCTTGCACCACTTAGCCAAGTTATGAATGTAAACAAAAAGTTCCTGAAATAATTTAAAAGTGCTTCCCAGTGAACACATAAATGATAAGAAAGCAAAGCAGATCTATTACTGATATGGAGAAAGTTTTAGTGGTCTGGATAGAAAATCAAAACAGCTACAACATTCCCTTAAGCCAAAGCTAAGTCCAGAACAAGGCCCTAACTCTCTTCAATTCTATCATGGTTAAAAGCTGCACAAGAAAAGGTTGAAGCTAGCAGAGGTTGGTTCATGAGGCTTAAGGAAAGACGCTACCTCCAGAACCTGAAAGCAAGTGCAAGGAGAAGCAGTAAGTACTGATGGAGAAGCTACAGCAAGTTATCCAGGGGTTCTAGCTAAGATAATTGATGAAGGGGGCCATATTAAACTACAGATTTTCCATGTGGACAAAACAACCTTGTATTGGAAGAAGGTACCATGTAGGACTTCCATAGGTAGAGAGGAAAAGTCAATGTCTGGCTTCAAAAGACAGGCTGACTATCTTGTTAGGGACTAATGAAGTTAGTGACTTAAATATGAAGCCAATGTTTATTTACTATTCCCAAAATCCTAGAGTCGTTAAAAACTTTGCCAAACTTACTTTGCCTGTTCTCTATAAATGGAACGACAAAGCCTATATGACAGAACATCTATTTACAGTATGGTTTACTAAATATTTTAAGCCCACTGTTGAGAACCACTGCTCAGAGAAATACAATTTCTTTCAAAATATTATTGCTCATAACAATGCACCTGGTCACCCAAGAGCTCTGATGGAGATGTACAAGGAGATTTATTAATGTTCTTTTCATGCCTGTTAACACAACATTTATTCTGCAGCCAATGTAAAGGAGTAATTTCAACATTCAAGTCTTATTTTAAAAATACAGTTTGTAGGAGTATAACTGTCATTGGCAGTAATTTCTATGATGAATCTGTGCAAAGTTAACTGAAAATCTTCTTGAAAGAATTCACCATTCTAGATGCCATTAAGAACATTTGTGATTCATGGGAAGAAGTCAAAATATCAACATTAACAGGAGTTTGGAAGATGTTGATTCCAACCCTCATGTATGTCTTTGAGGGGTTCAAGACTTCAGTGGCAGAAGCAACTGCAGATGTGGTAGAAATTCCCAAAGCATTAGAATTAGAAATGCAACCTGAAAATCTGACTGGGTCGTTGCAATCTCATGATAAAACTTGAATGAAAGAGGAATTACTTCTTATAGATGAGCAAAGAAAGCTGTTTCTTGAGATAGAATATACTCCTGGTGAAGGTGTTGTGAGTACTGTTGAAATAACAACAGAGAATTTAGAATACTAGATGATAAAGCAGTACCAGGGTTTGAGAAGATTGACTCCAATTTTGAAAAAAGTTCTACTGTAGGTATAATACTATCAAACAGCATTGCACACTACAGAGAAATCTTGAGTGAACGAGTCAATTTATGTAACAAACTTCACTGTTGTTTTATTTAAAGAAATTGCCATAGCCACCCCAACCTTCAGCAAGCACCACCCTGATCAGTCAGCAGCCAATAAATAACATCAAGGCAAGATCCTTTTCCAATAAAAAATTATGACCTGCTGAAGGTTCAGATAATCATTAGCAATTTTTAGCAATAAAATATTTTTAAATTAATATATGCATATTGTCTTTTTATACATAATATTATTGGCTACTTAGAATAAAGTATAGTATAAACATACTTTGATATGCACTGGGAAACTAAAATATCTATGTGACTGGCTTTATTGTAATATTCATTTTATTGCAATGGTCTGGAACTGAAACTGCAACATCTCTGAGATATGCCTATATTTTGTGCATATAAAAGAGGCAAATAATGGTGGTATATTGAAATGATGTTTACAAACAACAGAAAATTAAAGATAATTTAATGTAAAATGACTGAAATGATGTTTATAAACAAAAGCAAATTAAAGATAACAAGACAAGGATCAGGTACAAATATCATCATGAGGAATTAAAATTAAAATGAAGCTACACTGTTTAGACTTATTCTAGATCAATCACAATTCTACATAAACTTCCTAATAGAAAATAATCATGGGGAAAATTTTATACACAGAATGGTTTTTATTCCACACTGTGGCTTTGTCATCAAACCTCAAGGCAGTTCCATAGTGAAATGGTCTTGCTTAAGTGAACTTGTTTGTCTTCAAAAAAAGGGGGGAGGGGTGGAGGGAGTAAACAAATGAAAGCATTGCTCCCCAAGGCCTTTGAGGAAACTTTTAGGATCTATTCTATTGGAGGTAGTATGGGAGTCAAAGAGGAGAAAGAGAGAAAGAAAAAATAGACAATAAAATACCTAGGCTTCTCAGAGGAAAAACAATTCCCTGTATCCTCATTTGATTTCCCCAGCATCCTTTTAGAAATTGCTCCAGAGAAGAGGGAGTACCCCTATGTGCACTGGGACTTCCACCTCTTTGAATATAAATTTCAACCTGTCAGCATAATGGCCAATACAATTTTAAGTCCTTGGTTCATAATACTGACAACATTTCTTGATGTTGTGTAAAAGGGGTTGGGTAGGAAGGGCTGCTCTTCTCAGCTTGCCTTGATTCTCCACATCCCCTTTCCTTTTTAGGGTATAGATCTCAAACCTGCTCTGATCCCCAAAGGTTTGGTTTTTCTTTGTGAAATTCTGGATGAGCAATTAGGAAGGCATTGGTAACCATATAAAGCAGAGCTCTTGGTGACTAATAAGTTCAGGTTACAAAAGTTATAAGGAGAGCTTGAGGCTGAGGAGAAAGTGACTACAGTAAGAGTAGGCATTTGTGTAGGATTTTGGGTAGTTAATGAAGGGAGCAAGAGAGAGTAGTCTGGCCTTTGCACTATTGCTAGCTTGTCATTTCAGTCTGCTTGGTGATGAGATTATCTGAATTTTATGGAAAAAAAAGTCAATGTATACTTTTGAGATAAAATATTTGATAAATATTCAATAGTGGTATCTCAAGGATATAGATCAATTATATCAAACTAAACTCCAGTCTTTGTTTTTAATCCTGCTTCACATAGTTATGGAGTTATGGAATACAGAACGCTGACTTGGATTCTACTGAAATATTTTATTTTTCCAATTCTAATTCTCCACAAAAAAATTTTAAATCAAAATTGTACCAGCAAGTCTTTTACCAGAAATGGAATTTTGTCACATTAATTGCAGAAGATTTACTATAGAATTTTTGTCCTATTTTAAGTTTTCTCCATTGTAAGTTTATGACATTTGCTAATTAAGATCAGTAATATAAAATAGAGAAAACTGAAGTAATTCCACACATTCTAATGTTTAACTAGTTCAGCACATAGTAGCTTTAGCTTTGCTCAGACGTCAAGGATCTCTGAGATGTGGAAGTAAAAGGTTTAAGGCAAATAAACATATGTTAATGACAAAAATACTAGATTTTTTTCTTCTATCAAAAAGCAGCTAATCAAGAACACTTATAGTCTATCCAACATAGTTGACCTTTAAAATTTTATTTCTGAGGAAAGAAAAATTAAAGGTGCCTTCTTTGCAAATTTAAGAAAACTATGGGAATTTGTGGGAGGCAAGTTACACATGAGGGCCCCTCTTACAGGCCTGAGTGCAGTGGGTTTCAACCCCATTGTCATGCCATGAGGCAGCGAGTGTATCTTCCCTCCTTATGCCCTCCATCCTCCATCCAGATAGCTTTCTTGTTAAATATAAGCAAATAATCTTTCCTCTGGGCTTGGCTAAAAGTAGAGTTTGTTATAGAACATTACCTTCTCCAGGTAAGGTGTGAAGAAGATAGCTCCTGGGATGCCCTGCGACTTCTCAAAGCAGAGGCTCATTAAACACAGCAAATTGGACATTCCTGAGAGGACCATCTGTGAAGGGAAGTGGAAGGCATCAACACAGAGCAGGGATTGTGGGAATCTCTCATAAATCCAGTAGGCACAATACTTAAACCATCTTTCCCTCCAAGCATTGATCTGTTCACTTAAAAACAATGAAAATAAATAAATGGTTAGAGACTTTAAAATCATTAATGACAACGAGCTTCACCTTAGTTCTCAAACATTTTTTTTTAAATGGGATCTTGAAGCAAAGACTTTAATTCATGTTTCTACTATTTCTCTCAAAATATAGAAAATTACCTTATTTACTGATTCACCAGTTACTTGCATATGTGGAAGCAAAAGTCTTATGTTTTTCATTGTGTGTTTTACAGTTTGATAGTTGAAGGGCAAACACCTTTAAGGAGCTGGGATTAGGACTGGCAGCATTATCATACATGAATTGCAAAGAAGGCTTCCAGGTTTTTATTTGCCTATTGTTTTAGGAAGAAAGGTATTTATGAAGTATAATAAAAGGAAGTCGCAGAGTAAGGGAGCTTTGTTTAACATCTGTCTGTCAGCTAACCTCAGTACTGTGGGGAGATTGTCAGAGTCTTTTCCCATTTCAGCAGGAGTCTTTGTATTTGTCAAAAGCATCTTCCTGTCTAGGACAATTTTCCATTCAACTGGGATAGAACACCCTGTACAACTGAAAGAAAATTTTTTCTCCTCCTCTTTTTACCAGTTTTTTTCTTTAATTTAAGAAACTCCAGGATCAATTCTGTGTTGTGTAGTCTGTTTGTAAGCTTGAAATTTTCCACTGCTTTGTTTTTTTTAAAAAACCAAAATTCCAATATTACTCAAAATGTTTTAGTGTATTTCATTTTTAAAAGGATATAATCTTCTGGAAAAAAGAAAAAAAGAAATAATAGACTAGAGTATCTGCCACTAGGATAGATTTAGGCATTTAGTTTTCAGGGCTGACATGAAAATGTGCACAGAAAAGATATTTTCATTTGAGTAACCTTACAAGTAACATATCCAGTTGTTTTTGGTTACTTTCAATTTCATTTTAAAAAGCCCTATGTTTGAGAGCCCATGAAATTCTACCACATCCAAGTGCTTAATGAGATAATCCATTCCATGGTTCCTGATTAAAATTATCAGCACCCACATTCCCAGGAGCAGCTTTTAATTGGACATTAATTTGTAAAGGATAGAATGCTCATCAGTTCATCCAGATCAAAGGCACAGATGGAAGAATGCTGAAAATGGTACTTTTGAATAATTCAGAATTATTTCAGACTTAAATAATAACACTGCTGTCATTTAATTTCATTTATATAAAAAGGAAATTTACCAAGGACTATCTATAAACTGTATGGTAAGATTTCCATGTAATTCTAACCATTTTACAAGAAATAAATTGAAGGAACATCATTATTAACTCATTATTAACTTCTACCCATATGAATATTAAAAAAACCACTATCTGGTTTTAGGAAACTAAATGATGGACAATCATGGCAGGGTTCCATGTTCTAGCAACAAATATACATGATGGGAAATCATTTATCAAATTATCTTTCTAAAATAATTGCCTTAAATAAATCCAAACACAACTCAGCTTTTCCCTGAAGCATTGTTCCTAGTTACTAAAACAAAACACAACAAAACAAAACATCAGAATTCTGTAAAATGTACAAAGGTTGTATGCTTTTTCTTTGGCTACTAACATCCATTAGTTTGTTCTTCTGAAAGACAAACTTTGGCCAGCTATCACTGTCATTTCCATTTTGAGTCAATGTCCTCCTCTACTCCAATCTTGTAACTTATTACCTAGGTGACAATTGTCTAATTACAGAGTTTATTCAGTCCCACCTCCCAAAATGCCTACTGGTCATTTATTTGGACATACTACTCCCACCTGCCAAATGCTGATTTATCTTCTCTCTGAATTTCTCTGTTTTCGACATCATTTTTCATATTTCACATGCTTTTTATGTCCTACCATATCATAGTCTATGAATCTATCATGTAATATTAATTGCACCCAATGCTTCATGTTTATTTCTTTTGATATAACTCTACTTCAGGACTATACCACATCAATGATTAATAATAATGATAGTTCTTGCAAGTAGTATGCTTAAATGTTTTACCTCTGTTTCACCCCACACAAATCCTGGGAACAATCTTGAATCTTAAGCTGAAGACCATGTTTTACTCCTGCTCAAAATGCTTCTATAGCTCTCTATGATATAAGTGTAAAATCTCAAAATCTTATGTTTTTATTGCTTCACAGTTAGGAATTAACCTTCCTCTCTGATCACTCTTCCCTTAAGTCCCTTACTTAAATTGTCTCCTTCATTGAGTTGACTTCTCCTCTGGGATCTTTGCCTTGGTCATTTTATTCTCCTCACTTTATTTGTTGTACCCCCTTTCATTCTCAGTATTACTTTCTCTCATGATGTTTATATATATATGTGTGTGTGTGTTGTGTGTTGTGTGTGTGTGTAACTTCCAAATGCAACCCAACCTTCAACCTTACATAATTTGTACTTTATTTAAAAAACTATTTATTGAGCACTTGCTTTGTGCCAAACACTATTCTGTCCTATGAAATAGCACTGGTGAGTATGATTTTGTCTCCACCTTCAAGGAGCATAGAGCTTCTTGAGCATGAATTACAAAAGTGTAAACAGTAAAGGAACCAATATTCATAGACCTCCCAAACCTCCCAGGTACACCATATGCTTTCCAGAAAGACCTGTGAAATTAAGATATTCATCCTTATAACACTTGGGGAAGTTGAGGCTTAGAATTTGTTCATGGTCACACAGCTAGCAAGTGGCACTCTGGTGTATGTGAACCCAAAACTTCCCATTGTATTGTGATGCAGTGGAAATTTTGCTCAGCATTCTTTCTCTCCTTTGAATTCCTACCATATTTTGTTTTATACCATATATTTGGCATTTATTATATACTGGATTAATGGTTCTTATATTTATTTTAAAAAAGCATAGCTTTAATACCTATAAACTGCCTGACATTGGACTAAGTGCAAAGATATATAAGGGTCAACATGATGAAATCCTTGCCTTCAAGGAGCTCCCAGTCTGGTGTAGGGGAAAGATAGGTAAAGGGACATTTATCAAACACTGTGTGAGGGCTCCATCAAAGTGATGGTTCTGCCTTTGAAATGTCAAAATCCTGTATCACCTCCTATTTCTTTTAGTGGTTCACTCTGCTGCAGGATCGAATCTCTCTGTGCTTGGCTTTGTTTGGGCTTCTTTGGAGCAGAGTGGGTGGAGGCACTTGGCTCTGCCTTAAAGACGCCAGAGAAGTCTTCTTTAGTGAGTGACTGTTTGAATAGATTTTTAAAGGATGTCTAGAAGAACTCCAAGTAACACAGGTAGAAAGTGCAGAAGGAAAATCATAGGTAAATATGAATTTGTGAAATAGTATGACATATTCAAAGAGCAGCCTAAAACTCAGAGTCCACTTAGAGGAAGTGGTAAGAAGTCGGACTGGAAAGGTTGCCATAATCATTGTATGGCATTCTAACATACTAATTCTGGGAGCTTTAAAAATAGATGCCTGGCGCCACCCAAGACTAATTAAATCAAAAACACTGGTCTTTTGAGGGAGGAAGGTCTGGGCACTGGAGATTTTTAAAAGCTTACCAGGGCAATCCTAATGTGCAGTCATGGTTGAGAATCAGTGCTGCAGGCAAAGGGGAGCCAAAGAAGTTTAGCAAGCAAAAGGCATGATCAAATTTGTGCTTTAGACAGAACGCTCTGGCAACAGTGCAGAAAACAAACTAAAAGGCAGTACGCAGGAGGTAGGGATGCAGTAAGAGTCTGTCATAATAATCCAGATGAGATGAAAAGCTCTTAAAATTACTTTATGTCAACTAGTTTGCAAACATGTCTGAAGCATTCCTGTCATACTGATTTTCCTAACAACTTTTTGCCTAGTGTGGCGCAGGTATCTAACGATACTTGTTGAATCAAAGCATTACATAGACAGAGGTTAACATTGATGAAAAATTAAAAGTTATCATTTTAGAAGTATGTTTCATGACTGTAACATAATATATTCTTTTTCAAGAAAACTTGGAAAATACATGTAATATCAACAAAAGAATAAAAATGGATCATTAGTCCACCGCTTCAAGATATACACTCTTCATATTTTGGTATGTTGCCCTTCTCTGATTATTGTTCATGTAGTTGATTTTATTCTCTGTATATAATTAGGAAAACTGAGTAATGCTGTATGATATGCACTTACATCATTAGAAACACTTTATCAATTTTATTTAAAAGATTGCCTAATATGTTGCACTATAATTTATATAGTAATCTTCCAGTTGTTGGACACTGGTGGTTTCTAGTTTTATTTACTATTATAGATGATAACCATATTTGACAAAAACATTTTTAAAATTTCTGATTATTTTCTTAGACTGAATTTTAAGAAATAGATTTATCAAAAAAAGAGAATGTTTTGAAGGTTTTTGAAAAATTTTGCAAAACTATTTTCCTAAGAGTTTCTCAATGTCCATCTCTGCAATTGTATAATAGACTTTTTATATACAACTTTGCTATCACTATTCATTTTCACATGTAAATATTTGTTTACATGTGTTTATTTTTTCCTTAAGTAATCAGGAAACTAAAAGCAAAAGAAAACCCACATGGCTTTAAGTATGCTGTTAATCTGTTGTGAGAGACAGGTAAAGAAAACAATGTACTGGACTCTTTCAGAGTGATAGTCACACTTCTGAAATATCAAAAATCCTCCATCATCTCTCATTTCCTCGTAGGGATCCACCTATCTGCAGTGCCTAAAGTCTCCATGCCTGTATGTGTTTGGACATCATTGAAGCAAAGGATTATAGCTAACAATATATGTCATTATTTTAATTTGCATTTATATGATGTGTAACTTTTATTATTTTTCAATTATATATTTCCTCTTTTATAAATAATATGACAAACTTTCCACATTTATAGAAGAGAACTTTAGGATTTTTTTTCTCTTGT